CCAACTTTTGATTTGTGTAATAAGCTCTAGGTATGTGATTTTTGTTTCTCTCCACCCCACCCTGTCCTCTCCCACTGTAATATGAATTTAGCGTTGCTAAACTCAGCTCCTAAGGGTTTTATAAGCTATTACATTTGATGTAATTGTATTAAGTAATATTCACTATATATTCTGTCCACTTAAAACAACAACCTCTTGGAGGTTTGGATTCCCTTCCTCACCATGAAGTCATAGGACTGTCAAACATTCGGTTTTCTCTTTACCCTACTCTTACGTTTCTCTTGTCCTCTTCTGAAAGGAAGTGAATATTGAGATGAAAGTCCAGCAACCCTAGAAACCTTAATAATGTAGCCAAAAATTATTGAGAGAAGAGAGGGTTAAAAGAATTTAAAACTCCCAGGACTGTTGGGAAGCTTATATAATGTCTAAAAAGTCTGTTCCCTGAAAGAAAGGAATTTTGGAGTTGTAAGGAATGCTGTTAATAATGAATAGCCAATAAAATATCACAGTTGGAAAGGTGTTATACTTGCTTTTCTTTTTTTTTCCTAGTTGTCATGGAATTGATTCTGACTCATGGAAGCCTCATTTGCGCTGAAGTAGAAATGCGCTCCACAGGATTTTCAATGGCTAATCTTTCAAAGTAGACAGCCAAGCCTTTCTTCTAAGACACCTCGGGGTGGACTCTAACCTCCAACCTTTTTGTTAGCAGCAGAGCGTGTTAACCATTTGCACCACACAGGGACTCCATACTTGCTTTAGTATCTGTAAAGACCAGGCACTGTTTTTGAAAGTGATTTGGGTGAGAAGAGGTGTTTTCCTTACTGCCTGGTATTTTTCTTCAATCAATTATAATTACCTTATTCATTAGACCGTGTAACACACACCCACACTCACACACACACACACACACACACACACACACCTTAAGAGAGCTCATGGTAAAACTCTGGATGGTTCTGTAATTTTATTTTATTTCTTGGATTATCACTTCCTTTGGAAAAGGGCTGTCACAACCTGGGCAAAAGAAAGAATTGAGGTGTCTTTCTAAAAGAATGGCACATACAGCACTGATGTATTCCCATATTCCTTGAGGTGGTATGCTTTCAGACTGGTCTTTAGTCAAGCTGTGTGAAGTCATTCTACAGCCTAAGTGATGCCCCACCATCTTCCCCACAGCTTGCAGAGGCTGTTAGAGCCATTACCACATGGGAGTCTCCCCAACAATGGCGATGATGAAAAGCCAACATTCCTGGCTAGAGGCTTGAATTGAGTAACGGCTGGATACCTGATCCTTTTAATACCTTCCAGTCCCCAAAAGGAAAGGATACCAGATGTCCCCCAAATGTGCATGATAATTAAAAATATAAATTCCCAGGTTCTTCCTCTTTCAATTCTGATTTAGAAGGGCTGAGGTGGGACTTGGGAGCCTATATTTCATACAAGTGCCCCAGGTGTAATTATTATCATCAGAAAAATATAGGAAAGACTGTTTTTTTAATTAGATAGACTTGAGTTCATATCTTATACTTACTAGCTATTATTGGTTCAGACCTAGCATCCAATGATTTCAAAGGCCTGGATATCTCCTTTATCCCAGTGCAGTTACCCTGGAAATGGCAACATGTCCTTTTGGAAAAAAATAGGAGGAAAATTCACAGTAAACACTTGCAAAAATACTGCAAGGTTCTACGTAAAGGGCATAATGCTTTCTTTTTATTTGAGCGTCTAGGCCTGACTCAGGTCTGACAATTTAATGAGGGGCCTGATTCTCTATCATGATGGCTGCTTTGAGGCTTGTATTTATTAATTCATTTATTCAACAAATATTTATGGAGCACTTTCATGTGGTAGGAATTGTTCTAGATGTTTGAGATACGTCACTGAATAAAGCAGTCAAAAAGTCTGCCCTCATGGAATTTGTGTTCTCAAGTAGTATCTTAGTGGGTTGCCCATATGCTTTGGTATCAGGGGCCCTGTGATCAATAGTCACCACAAAAAATATGTGGGCTGGACCTTCTTGATATTTACACTGTCATAGCTGCCTGTTATGACAACCACATACTCTTTGTCTTCGGTGCTTAGCACCACCTCCCACTGAAACCAGAAAATCCATTTTAAACTACAGCATCTTCTTCCAGGATTTTTGGCCATCTCCACCAGGCACTTGTACCACTACTGCTAGCACCACTGCCATTGAGTATTTGCTGCCATAGGCACCACCATGGATAATCTCTAATTGCCCCTGAGTCTTTGAGCCACCCCTTCAAGAAGAAAAGTTCTGGATGGAGGATCTGATTTACTGGGTCTAGGACAGATGTCCATGTCCTTGCTGACAGGGGCAGGGAGAGGGAGTGTCTGGCCCCATCTGGCCTCCATAGTAGGAGAAAGTCCCTCCAAGACTTGCACAGTGATTTCTCACCCCAAGTAGAAAGGTAAGCAGAGACTGGGCAACCAAAACATAATAAAACCAATCCCCACTAGGATCCACTAAGAGCCCTGAGGGCAGAGTGATTAAACACTCGGCTGCTAACCAAAAGGTCAGTGATTTGGATGCACCCAGAGGTCCATAAGAGAGAGACCTAGTGAACTGCTTCCATAAAGATTACAGTCAAGAAAAGCCTATGGGGCAGTTCTACTCTGTCACATGGGGTCACTATGAGTTAGAATCTACTCGGTGGCACGTAACAACAACCTGACCCGCTAAGTGTCCAGGACACCTTTTCTTGGACTTATTTATAGTATCCTTGGACATTGCAAGGAAGGATGTCCAAATGTGGTAAATCAGACCCAAAGCTTGGATTAAACCAAAGTGATTTACCTGCCCTTGGAGTGAAGAAGAGTTTAAACTTCCATTCCTTTTAGGGCAATAAAAAGGAAAAGAAAGAAAGGAAAGAAGGAAGGAAGGAAGGAGAACAAAAGTTACCTTTCTATATTAAAACTATTCTGAACATTTCTGTCTAGTCACAAATCGGTCTATGTGAGCAAATTCGTGCTGAGTTCCAACTTTCCAACTCATAAAGCTTTTAGACCTTGGTAAATTGGGACTATTCTAGAAAACTCTTTAGTTTCTTATCCATTGCAATTGTTTAATTGTTCATTTCTAGGACTGTATGTGGATAACAGTTTTCTCCTCTTCTCCTTGTGCTTGTCCTGTTGACTTCTATAAATAAGCATGATCCAGTATACAGCTGAAAAACACTATACCATATTAAGAAAAATTAAAATGAAAGACAAATATAACTCCCTTCTCATATTGTCTCTTCCTCACTTCTGTCTTTTGTAGAGCAATTGCTCTTGATGAATGGGAGAATGATCAGGAAATAGAAAATGTGTGGTCAGAACTGGTCTGGGAAAATCTCCAGTTCTTGAGTATGCTATAATTTGATGAACATTTTAAATGGCTTTGTTTCAATCTTCTGGTAAAATTCCTATATATGTGAGGTACCATTTTCCCACATAGTTCCTTTCTATATAGCTAGATAGCTTATCTCTTCCTTTACAGCAGCTATAGGAAAGAAAGTCTAATTAAACATAGAAACATAAAAAGTGGTGGGATTTTAGAAAAATGGATCATGTGAGGAGGTCCAAGAGGGCTATTTTTTTCCTGTACTTATGTGAATTGAGATTTCCTTCTGATTTTTAAAAGTACACTTTATTTTTAGAGTAGTTTTAGGCATACATAAAATTTTCTCAAAATGTACAGAGTCTGGGCAACCAAAACATAATAAAACCAATCCCCACTAGGATCCACTAAGAGCCCTGAGGGCAGAGTGATTAAACACTCGGCTGCTAACCAAAAGGTCAGTGATTTGGATGCACCCAGAGGTCCATAAGAGAGAGACCTAGTGAACTGCTTCCATAAAGATTACAGTCAAGAAAAGCCTATGGGGCAGTTCTACTCTGTCACATGGGGTCACTATGAGTTAGAATCTACTCGGTGGCACGTAACAACAAAACCAAGGAGGTTTTCTTTTTCAGTCTGTTAAAATGCATTCTTCAGTTGAAAAGAGGGGAGAGGGTTGATTTACTGATGTATTTGAAATATTGACATATTTGATATAACATGGGGTCTTGAATTAAATAGGTCAGGATCAAATCTCAGTGTTGCCACTTACTATCTTCCAATGAACAGAGGGGTGATAATAATCGCTATTTTGCAGGGCTATAGGATTGAATGAGAACAAAATACAAAACACCCAATATAACTTCTGCCGCCTGGAAGGCATTCTGCTAACGTTTATTCTCTCCCTCCTTAAAGCCAGGTGGGTTAACGGTTAAGCGCTCGTTTACCAGCTGAGCTGCCAGGTTAGCTATTCAAACCCACCCAGAGGTTCCTTGGAAGACAGGCCTGGTGATCTGCTTCCAAAAGGTCACAGCCTTGAAAATCCTATGAGCCGTTCTATTCTGTACACATGGGGTCACCATGAGTCGGAATCAACTCAACAGCAAACAACAACCTTAAAGCTAATGGATAATGAAGTAACCTACAGCCAACCAGAGTGAAATTATCTGGGAAGCAAGAGAGGGCATAGGAAACAAAACTTGCATATTAGGTTGAATTTTCCAGCTTATTTGAGAAACAAGTCATTAGACATTCATTGGGCACTTTCTAAATTTCCAGAAGGATATTAGACCCAGGGGATACATTAAAAATAAACAGATCTCTTCCCCACTTAAGCATACCCTTAAGTTAAAGAGACTGAGAACTGAAGCTCAGGACCGTGGACAAAATTGTAAAGTACCTGTCAGTGCACACAAAATAGTATGGACTAAAGGTGCAAGTACAGAAAGAGTCTGCTAAATTCAAGGGGCTCCAGGAGATGAGGCAAGATAAAGATTTATCTTCAGATTAAGGGCTACACCAGTGATAAGTAGGTCACTGCCTGATGGAATCTGGAACTCCTTAGAGGGGATGTCACTGTGATTCACTGTGTGGGGTTCTGTTGACTGGGGCGTTCTCTGCTCCTAACCAATCACAGTGGTAGGAAAAGCATGGCAACATGAGCAACACTGGTAAGTCTCTGCGAGAACTGTGTCTTCAAGGCTCTGAGCTCCCCAAATAAGGCAAACCACTCTCCTTTCCAATCGTTAGCAGACCTGAGCCATTCAGGAACATCATATGTGGTTTTAAGTTATTTATGCCCTTTGTTTTCCTTCACTCTCTTGTTCTTGCCCCTCCTCCTACCTTCTGCTGCCAGATATTTGGAGGTAGGACACAGCTCCATTGATGAGACAGGTAAGGCAAGATAGGCCACCGTGCACCTTACCTCCTCCAGGGAGAAGGTCAGCATGAAGTGTGGGATTATCCAATAATTTCTTTTGTTCCCAAGTGAATATTCTTATTATGTGGAAGGAGTGCTGAAATCCTTCCCAGATTATTAGAAAATTTGAAGCAGAACAGGTGACAAGGAACAAACAAGAGTGAAGAAATTGTAGGATGGAAAAAGGAAGGACATGGAAAGGCTTGCCTCCATACCACATTAAGACTGTCTTGTTAATGGCAAACCCTATCATAGGCAAACCCCTTGTCACCAACAGTATGTGTGGCTGTGGAAAATAGAATCAATTGGGAAATTTCCACTACCTCAATTTCTTGCACGCAGATGGTTTAAAAAATATGTAATCATTCAATAAATCCATGCTAGGGTGTATGATTAACCAAAAAAAAAAGACCTAATATAGTCTCTTGAAAGAACAATCATTAATTGAAAGAACAATTCATTCAGCATTTACAGAGTTTAGACATTGTGTAAACACTATTAGTGTCTAGCCAAAGAAAGATGAAAAGAGAAAGCCCCTCCTCTCATAGAGCTCAGTCTAGAGAGGAAAACAGATACGTCAATGAATAAGAACGATATGATTTTTTTATAGTACTTTAGATGAAGGTATACAGAACATACTAGCTTCTCATTAAACTGTTAGTACACATATAGATTTATGACATGTCAACACTCTCCCATCTCGACCTTGGGTTCACTATTACCAGCTTTTCTGTCCCCTCCTGCCTTCTAGTCCTTGCCCCTGGGCTAGTGTGCCCCTTTAGTCTCGTTTTGTTTTATGGACCAGCCTAATCTTTGGCAGAAGGGTGAACCTCAGGAGTGACTTCATTACTTAACTGAAAGAGTTTCTGGGGGCCATACTCTCGGGGTTTCTCCAGTCTCTGTCAGGCCAGTAAGTCTGGTCTTTTTTTGTGAGTTAGAATTTTGT